TTTTATTCGTGTATGGTGTTTCTTTGTATATCAGTGTTTGTTTTTTCGTGATACCTTTATATTTAATCAGACGTTGCGGAAGTCAATGTTAATAAAAATGGAAGTAAATTAATTTGCTACTCCGCGAGCCCAATGAAGGTTAAATCGTGCAAAATAGCTGCGCTTGTGTTAAATATTTTTTCATGCAGTTAATTATCCCAATATTTTTTCATGCAGTTAATTATCCCACCTTCCCTGCGCATAAAATTAATAAAATAAATATAAAAAAATAGCTTTATATTTTTAAGTAAACTAGTGCGGTATTATCACAACTTGACTGTGTTTTAAATGATGCTCTAGCACTAGGTAATTTAAACATTATTTAAATTTAATTTATTTAAATAAAATGGGGACGATGTAGTTAAGTAACGCCTAATGTATATATACGTTGACGTTTAACGACCGCCATATTGATTTAAGGAACATCTTCTCATAACAGCGCACGAGCTGTTTAATACAAGTATTTGTGCTAAAATTAAAAATAAATTGTATCTAAATAATAAGCTACCGAAAGATCTCAAAAAATTCTTTTAGTTAGATATTACTAGACAGTTGTTTATATACGTAACGTAAGCAAAAGGGTTTACCAGCTTCGTTTCTCTATAAAACTAATGAGGTTTTTGTTGCGCCGCCATTTTTAAATTAACGAAAGTATTCTTTTTGTAAAAGATTTGATTAAATAAAAATTTAAGCATTCAGTCATTCATAGTTAGCAAATAAATATACACAATGGTCACCAATTCGATGAAAAGGACCAAATTAAATTGAACTAATGGTAACACTAAGGCTGAGATTTATAAAACGAATTTGACGAAGCTTAAGCAAGAAATTAAATTATTCTTTGAGTTTACTTCCTTATTCCTTGCTTAAATTTAAAGCCTTGGCGAAGTTCATTTTATACACACACACACATATAATACGAAAAACTTGTTTAGTCGAAGTCAGAGTTCATTTACAAATTTGTCTAAGTTTATTTAAACTATACTAAGCAATGTACTAAAATTAGAATGTTAGTTGTCTTCAGTACATTTTATACCGTCCTGATTCTTATGAAGAAACTCTACATTGTACAATAGGTCACTATTATCAGCATAGTGATTCTGATTATAGCACTGACCCCGAATCACTTTACTGATCAGTTGTATAGTACTAATGCCCTTCGTCGGTGTATCGCATTACTTTAATAAGGCTATTCACTGTATGACAGTGATTTTTTTGTAACTAAGATCCTATTTTATTATGTGGTAACGGTTCTTTTTTCCTGACACCGAAATGGAGAAATAAATATCAACTGTTCCATAGTAAATGAACCCCTAGAGCCATTTTTATTTTAATTAGTAGAGGCGAAGCTGCACAACCTTGAACACCGTCGTACAGTTGCCAGCTTATCGATATTCTACAGGATATATCAAGGAGTGTGCGATGGAGTTGCATAATTTGATTCCACCTTCCCCTTTCCATCATCGGGGGATTAGATGTGGGCTGTGTGTACCAACCTTTTGTTGTGGATATTCCCCGGATTCGCACG